TATATATATATATTTTACGTCCTTAGCCAAGTCGTGCTGTCCCAGGGAGGCAGCCAATTGTTACAAATTCCCTCTGCAGCTAGGCAACGAGCTTGAAATGTACCGCTAGTCTCTCTTTCTCCAGTGAGAAAGACAAGAGGGAGTCCGGCAGCAGATGGTCTGACCCCCACAGAGCCCTGATCTGAGCATCATGAAGTCAGTCTGGGATTACATAAAGAAAAAGTTTTTACACAGAACTGTGATCAGATCACCAAAAGCCTTCCAACAAGGCACAGGATGTGGCTCAGATCTTAGAAGCGTTGATTTTCTGGCTGCTGCTGCTTTAGGGTCAAGTTTTACATAAAAATTGCTTTATGCAACACATTATTACAACAAAACAACCATACAGGGCTTGCAGGAATTTTCACACCAATCAAACATTATGTCACCACAAATTGCTACAAACGAGAAAGTAATACGTAATTATAAATGAGAGGCATAGTTATATGCGATTCTTTTTTTGTTGTTGTTTTTTTTCCTGCAATTACGACTTCAGGACCACTGATAGATGTCTGTACCTGCTTTGCACATCTGGAGACGGCTTGTTCTTCACAAAATATGTCAAGCTGAGTCAGACTCCTTGGACAGAATTTTCAAAAATAGATTTTCATCAACTGAGTATTTTTCCCTCTTCCATAAATCTAATTTGTGGAGGTCGGGACTAATAGTTGCTACCATTTGAGCTGTGTTTCTCTGTAGCTCCTCTAGCGTCACCACTGGCTGCTACTCAGTACTCTATAAGATGTTCGTAGCTTTAAAGAGCCAGTATTATGTGACATTGACTTTTTTGCATCATATTATAAGGTTATTCTTTCATCTAAAACATACCTGGAATAAAACATACATGGAGTGCTGCCTTGATTCTTTCATCCACAAATCTGGAACAAACTTCCAGGAAGTTGAAAAGCTGTTGAAACACTGACCTCCCTTAAAACTGTACAACAAACCAACTTGTTTAGAGTTGCATTTGAACCATAATAAATTAAACACTGACCAACATTTTACTGATTTGCTCAATTATTGACTGTGTGGTATCTTCTATGACTTTGTATTTTTGTGTTTTTATGACATAAACCATCTTGAACTACCTTGTTGCTGAAAAGTGCTATACAAAAGTCAAAGTCTAAAAGTATGGGACTTTTTTTTCTGGAAATTTTTCGGGATTAATCTAAAAACTTGAGAGATTTTACTAGCAATTTTCTGTCTTTTCAAACTAAGCAATTACCTTGTTTTGTCTGGAAAATT